TGCAGTCATTAACAGCTCTCTGCCGCGAGTTTCCTGACCATCAGAATGAAGATTCGGGACACTGGGCTCTGCTTGGGTTGGGATCAGCAGGGTCACAGAGGCAGCAGCCCCCCGAAAAAGCACAGAGCGGGTCCGATCCTTCCCACTGCACTCGGCTGGGGTTTGGTGCTGGCATTCCCCACGCGACCCTGGGTTAACACCCAACGGTGCTGGGATGATGCACAGCACCACGATCCACCGTAAGGTGCAATGAAGGGAAGAAGTGAAGCTCTTCCTTTAAAAAAAGAGGGGAAAAAAGCAGCATTTCACTCTTAGATTTCCACATTCAGCGTCAGCCCTACGAGGGAGGCGGGTGAGGTGCCCAACCTGCCCTCAGGCCCTTTCCAAACTCAGCTTGGCCCCTAATCTCTGCTGGGGAGCGGCTGCTGACTCTCCAACTAAATGAGGTGCCTGCGGGGCTTTAGGAAAGCAGCTCGTTCCACACCCTTGGGTGCCCAGATCTCCGTTTGTCACCGCCTGCTCTCCACCCGGAGGCATTTGGAGAGCTTTTCGGTTTGGCAGGGAGGCCCCCAGCAAGCTGAGAGCTTGCAGGCTGCTGCGAGCCCTCGGCTTTGACTTCGGAGTTATTCCGGGGTGCGAGGGAAGGAGCGAGAACGCCTGCTCTGGAACCAACCAGCTAAAAACTGTCAGCTGGGAAGGAGCGCCAAGAGCCGATGCTGTGAGATCTGCTTCGGAGGCATAACGCCCCGATTCTTCCTGAGCCTGATAAAGCAAAACCCAACTGCATAAACGGTGCAGGAACATCAGCAAGGAACTCGCTGGAGGTAGGTCTCCAGCAGACACAAGGCATTAGGATTGAACCTACACGCAGGGTGAAAGCAAAGTCCAACCACGACCCTTCTGATTGTGCCTTTTTGGGCGCTCAGCAGTGCTTGCAAAGGATCCCCTGACCATGAGAGTGTCCCCCTGGTACCAGGGAGGCTGTCGAGGTGATGAGATCCAAGATGCACTGCTTAAATCCTTGCTTCTTGCCTGCAGGAGCATTTCAACAGCCCTGGAGCTGAACCGCTCCTGCGAGCATCCTTATCAGAAGCACGACCTTTCCTACCAGCCGTGAAGTTTGGCCCCAAAACGACTTAAAGAGCAGCTATCAGCACGACGAGGAACAAATTAACAGCCCGGCTGCAAACAAGGGGTATTTCCACGTGCTTTCGGGAAGGGGTCAAACCTCACATGAAGCAAGAGCCACGAACCGGAGGCGTCCTCCTCCTCCTGACACGCAGGCGATGGGACAGGGAGGCACTGGCGGCGTCCTGTCAGACCCAAAACAAACTCCAGCAAAAGGATTAACGCGGGCCCCAACCCAGTGCATCAGCCACAGCGACCTAGCAGAGCCTAAAAAAGCTTTTCCCAGTGGTTAGATCAACAAACCCCCTCGCTGGGAGCTCCAGCCGGCCACAACGCCTTTTTTCCCAGCCCAGCTTCCACCAGTCCTCCCAGCTCGCCCTGCTTAAAACTTTTACAAACAGCAACGGGGTCCCAGTTACCATAACAAGAAGCCTCCTTCGGTAACGTTGCCTCCAGGTTGGGGTCTGGCAGGATAAAATAAAAGGAGCCTCGATGTCCAAGAGCCTCCTGGAGCTGGCTGGGCTCCAGATCAGATCTGACCCAGCCTCTGCCTCGGGTGTGAGGTGTTGGAGGAGCCTGCACATCCCCGGCAGCACTCGGGGAAGGACCCCGGGGTTTTATTCTAGAGCTGCTGAAAGGCAAAACCAAGAACCAGAAGCTCGAATCCTCTCCGGGCTCCCTCCTGCTAGCGCCAAGCTGGGGCACCCCGGGGTGCAGAGAGCTCCAGGGGTGGCTGTTGGAGGTGTGAGGGGGGTGAGAGTTCCCCTGGCTGCCAGCACGCACCCTCCTGCTCCTCTTTTTGCAGGAAAATTCCTGCAGGATAAGGAGCTGCTGCTCCTCAGGTACCCACCGCAGCTCATCCCGGCGCATCTTTGCTGTCCCAGCAGCAAGGTTTCTCTAGTTAGGTGCCAAGCACCAGATTTCAAACACAAAGAGGCATCTGGCCAGCGGGTCTAGGAGCCTTTGATGAGCACAAGGCAAAACCCAACGTAAACCAGCAAGTCAGCAGCTTCCCCAGGCAAGACGATGGAGAAAGATCATCTCTGCACCACGACCCCATTACTCATCCGCCAGAACTGCGCTTCCCCTTCCAGTTTCTGGAGAAAAGGAGGATGCAGAACATCCCTGAGGTGTTTGAGTTCAGCACCCAGGTGCTGCCAGTTCCTCATCCACTGCCTGCTCCGGGACCTCCTCCAGCACAGGAGGAGCTCCTCCAAGCCCCTACCAGAGGTGCATTTGTCCCAGAAAGCAAGGTGACAACCACCTGAGCGTGAACCCAGAGTGATAACAGGCGAGGGCACGCTCGTATCCGGAGCTGAGCCAACATGGCACGGCGCAAACCCTCCCCACAATCTCCAACATCCGAATTTTCCCCCCTTCATTCAACCAAGAGAACCCTTGCAGCCTGCAGAGATGCTCAGAGCTGACCACCAGGCAGGGAAAGGTTTTGGCATCGCCTCCAGCAGGCTCAGGTCCGTGGCACCGTCACCCAGGGGGAGCAGGAGCTCTAAAAAAGCACACGGGCAGCCTCGGGATCTCGGGTCGCCTCGTGCTCCTTCATTAGCGGCGATACATCTCCAGCTACACACGTCTTCACAGCAGGGACAACATATTGCAAGAGATCTACTGCAGGAGAGACAAATAATTCAAGTTTAAGAACGGGAGAAAAACCTAAGAGAGCCACTGTTTCTTACTGAGCAGGGATAATTACAAGAAAGCCATGACAAGCCTTGGAGAGCACGTTGTTTTATCGAGGAAATGCCTAAGTGACCTAGAAACTGAAGTCCCATTTCCTGAAATTATTTATCCGCTTAAGAGCCCGCGTTTCAACGAAAGTGAGAAAGAAAAGCTGTCGAAAATGGGACTTGGGAGCCCGAGTCAAACCTGAACAAATTCTCCCTACGACTGCGTGCGGATGGCTTTAAAGAGATCAAAGTCAAGGCTGCACGGAGCCGAGAACAGGGGAGCCTCTTCTGTAAGCGACCACCTATGGACAAAACGCTCGCCCATGAATTAAAATAACTGGAGCAGCATCCGAGGGATAGGGGAGAGAAAGGCACGAAGCACTTATGTGTGCACAGGGTCATAAAATAAAAATATTTTGTCCCACCTGTTATTATTTATACCGCACGCGGGCATTTTTATTATTTTTTTTAACATTCAAAGGCACACACGTTTTACGGCGTCATTATTTGATACGCGAGCCCGAAAATCAGAGGGGAGCAAGAAATATTCCAAACGTGAGCCAGGTCTCGGAGTTCGGTCCGTGGCTCTGAGCGGTTTTGCTGGAGCTGCCTTCTGCCCGAGGAGCGAGGGCGTTTTGGTGGCGAAGCAAGCAGTGATTTCCCCCAATTTCGCACAACTCAAGAGGTGAAACCTCACACCAGCATTTTGGGATCACCCAAAATCTCGCTTCCAAAGCCTGCAAAGGATTTCCAGCGCCTTTGGCTGGGGCCACGCTCGGTGGCACCGCTGGAAACGGGGCTGTTTTCAAAGCTGCCTGGTTGAAATAATTGCAAGCATCATCTGCTCGGCGAGCGGAGCGTTTGTTCCCCGCGTTTCAGCAGACTCAGCACCAGCAGAAGTATTTGGCAGAAAAACCGAGAGCCGTGCTCTGCTCTGTGTCAGGTTTACTCACTTTGGAAACGGTTGAAGGGTGTAAGAGAGCCCCGGCTGGTTCCCCAGGTATAAATACACCCCGCTGGGTATTGCTTATTCCCCAGCACTGCCAAGTCCACCTCCAGCCAAGTCCTTAATGCACTGAAGTTTATGAAAGACTATTTTTTTTCGTTGTTTTTAAATATTATTTTTAATAGTAACGACGGTATTCGGAGCGAGGTCTCTGCCAGCCAGGGCTGAAAACATCTCCAAGGAGCGAAAGAAAAAAAGGGGGAAAGAAATAAAAAGCGAGCTGTGTAAGAGCTCTGCCAGCAGCAGCACTGCAAGCGTGGCCGTGAGTCCCCAAAAGGCAGGGAAGTGGTGAACCCTGCAGCTTTACCTGAACTAAAACACCATCATTTTGTACCAAAGGAGCTGGAGAGTCCCTTTTTTGGGAGAAAGGGGGAAAAACGCCTTCACACAGCTTCTCCTTTAGGGTTTGCTCGGTCGCATCACAAGGAGAGCTCAGATGCCAGCCCCGCAGAGAGTGCACGGGGAAATCCCTGAGCTCGTCCCCTGCTCGTGTTTGGGGACAGAAGAGGAAAAGAGGGGGCAGGAAAATCACCACCAAGCATGCAGAGGGCTCAGAAGGAAGAGGAGCCACCCCAAAAGCTCATCCCACTACGTGTTTAGCCTGCGTCAAAACCCAGCACAGCCCTGGGGAAACCACACCGCCTTGGAGGTGTTCGAGGCACTGAATTCATCCCGTTTTGAGAACAAACGTCCAACTTTGGCATGCCTTAAAAAGCAGCACGTGCTACAAAAAGGCCACAGCCTGGTGGGTTTCTGCGTTAGAAGAAACCTGCCAGGGTTTCTTTTGTGCCAAGCGAGCAAGGAACCTCTCGGAGGATGAGGCTGAACTTCAGAGACCCAATTACACCAGAGTCCTAAACCAACCAAAAAACACACAGCAAGTATGAGCCCCAAAGAGGGAGAACAGGGACCAGAGGAACGTCAGAGCTCGGGGACACCACCCCATGGGGACACAGCACCTGGAGACACAGCCAGGACACCACAACCCCATCCTGCAGCGCGCTCAGACCCACGCAGCACCATCACCTCCAGCCCCCGCGGCTCCCGGGGCCGTGCACGGGGTAAACCCGAAATTTTTAGGGCTGGGCAAAGCCACGAAGAGAAGCAGAGGAGCGGGATGAAGAGATAGCGAAACGCTGCAGGCTTTTTGTTTCCTTCCCTACGTGCAGCTTCCTACACACCTCCAACAAAGAGCTGCCGCTTGCTGGCTCCCCAGGGGAACCCCGGCCCCGTTCACGTCTCTCCGCTCAGCCTCCGCTCCTCAGCGCTCGCCCATTGTGTTACGAGTTCCTTGAAGCCAAAAAAAAAACAAGAAACGGGATTATTTTAACACAGGGTGGGGAAAAAAAAAAGAAAAAGAAAGAAGTTACAGGAAGCAACAGGTCCCTAATCCTGCAGGTTTGTTACAAAAAGCATTTTCTACCCATGCTGGGAAGCCCTCGCGAAGCGCGAGCGGTGTTCGGGTGCTGAACGCTTGGAGGAGGAGCAGAAAATCTGGCCTCATTTCTAGGTGCGAGAACGTCAACCAAAAAAATAAATGAGAAGAGGCCCGAGCCAGTCAGGAGGATAAATAAAACCAAGCAGAATGCAATAAAGCATCACACGTGATGCAGCAGCAAACGAATCCAACCCCAAATCCAACCCAGAGATCCTCTGGGCGAACACCCGCTGCAGAAACCCCCGCGGGGGCTGCCAGGAGCTCACCACATTTCGTTTCAGCCCTTTCAAAAGCGTTTTCACCACGAAAAGGCAGCAAAAGGCGCTGGGCTAGGATGGTCCCAGCTGGCCCGACCGCTGCTGCATGCCCTGGAAGGGCTCCTGGGGCTCCCAGGCCCCTCGTGGCGTGGTGCTGGTGGATGTCACCGGCTCAAGGAGGCTGCAAGAGGGACTCGCTTTCATCCCCACAGCATCCAGCTGCTCTCGGAGCTCCCCATCTCCCAAAAACAGCCCAAGGAAATCTCCTGCCCGCCCCACGCCACATCCACAACCCCTCTTCCAGCTGTCCTGAGACCATTCCACGACATCCCAGGGGTTTCGGAAGAGGCGTGGATGAAGATGGTACCAAGAAGTTAAGATTCCCAAAGTCCTTTTATTTTTGCCAGCTCCTACCCCACGTGTCTGTGGGATCACCGCCGCTGCAGGATTTGTGCCACGCGCTTCCCAGCTCACCTGGACCACAAACTGCCCCTGTGACACACCGGGACGGGCTGAGCCACCAAAAGTGAGACCCGGCGGGGCTCGGCACCAAGTTTGCTTCCACCTGACAGCTCCATAAATCACACAGGGATAAAAAAAATCCCAGCACTACACGCGTACGGTGGGCAACGCTGGAGAAGACCGGACAAGAAGGGACCCTGAGGAGGTAAAAACGCGAGCGAGAAGCAGCGAAGATGTCAGAAATACCCTTTGGCAGGGGAAAATTAAGTTAAGGAAGGCCAAAAAGCAAGAGGAAGGTTTAACTTGGTCCCAAAATTGGCCGAAAAGCTTCTCCTGCATCCTCCGAGGAGAGGCAGCGCCCGGAGCCCCCGCTACGAAGCGCCGAGCTTTTTGGTAGCAGGATATTGGCAAATTTGGAAGGCATTCAGGAAAACAAGAGTTCGGCAGCTGGAGGGATTGATTTACGCGGAAAGATTAAAATAACTGGGCGTGGAGTCGGGCCGGGCGCTAAGGAAGGTGGCCGGGATCATTTTTTTTTTTCGGGTAGTTGACAGGCGAGCGCCAAGAGGCAGAGGAAGCGTTTAGCGCGCCGCAATTAGGCACAACCCGAGGACTGGCACACAATTAAGGAAATTCACGGCGGCGTTATAAAAGTTCTCGAGGAGGCGAGGTCCGGCGGGTCCCAAAAAAACCTCTTTTGGCCCAATTTCCAGCTCGGGGCTAGGAGCAGGAGTCAAAAGTCGCCGCCAACCTCGCGCCTCCGCTGCTTTTCGGTTCGTTTGTTTGCAGCTGAAGGCAAACGAGCCCTGCAGCCCGCAAAGTGATTAAGGTTGGCACCGCTAATTGCCCCGCTCGGGGGACGGAAGATAAAAACACCTTCAAGGAACGAGGAGCGGGGCTGTTCTGAACCCTCCTCGCCTCCCCAAAACCCGCCTGCTCCAACCCACCTCCCACGCGGGGTTATTCGTAGCCTCCCCCCAAGGAAAAAACCCAAATCCCAAAAAACCTCGGGCAAAACCCCGCGTTTCGGAGCTGGATTCCCCTCCGGGACCGACCACATCCCGCAGCCAAACTATTTTGCAAGCGGATCGCCAAAAACCAGACGATCCCCTCGGCTCCTCGCCACCGCACAACCTCCCTACCGTGGCGGGGGGGGGCAAAAGAAACCGGGCACCGCTGCCCCCCGCGAAGGCTCCTGCGCCGAAAACGTCCCTCGAAGGGGCCTGAGCAGGGAAAAGAGCCAAAAGTTCCCCGGAAAAAGATAACGGCGAGGGCCAGGCCGGGCGGGAGGAGCCGCGCAGAGCGAGGTTTTGGTGCCCCAAAATGTTTCACCCCGCATCCGGACGAGCTGAGATTTTTTTTATTATTATTATTATTTTTTTTATTATTTTCCCTGTTGAAGCTGGGGGGGGGGAGCCGCACGGACGGTTTTGGGCTCGGGAAGCAGCTCGCAAAGCCACGAGGGAGCCGCTGAGTGAAGTCTCGCCCCGTCCACACCCTCCCCAAATTCGGAGCTCCCCAAGAAGCCCCCCCCCGGGGAGCCCCCCCAGCGCCGCGCCAGGCCTGGGCTTTCTCCTTTCTGCTGCCCGTGCATCTTCCTCCACCCCCTGGGGCTCCCTGAGCCCCCCCCCGGAGGGTGTGGGGTGGGCTGAGGGTCCCCAGCACCCCGCAGCCGTACCCCAACACCCCCCCAGGTCACCCCCACGGCCTTTGGACACCCCCAGACCCAGCCCAGCGCCCCCCAGGGAGCCCCGAGTCGAGCTCAGCCCCCCCCCGCTCGGGATGGGGGCGCAGGGCAGGGGTCCCCCAGCACCTGGGGGGGTCCCCACAGGACCCCTCCCATGGCTCCGCTGACCCTTGGGGTCCCCACACCCAAAGGCCCCCCGAAAACTCTCCAAGGAGCCTCCCAACCCCACATTCCCTTAAACCCCCCCCCAAAACATCGCCAGGGCCCTACCTGCACTGCCAGACCCCTTCCCCTCAAAGCCCCCCCAGCTCCACACACAGAGACCCCCCCCCTCCTTAACATCCCAACCCCTCACCTCCTGCCCTTCAGCAACCCCTGAGGACCCCCCCAAAACCTGAAGCCCCCATAAACCCTGAAGCCCCCCCCCTATTCCCAGGACACCCCACAAGGCCCTCCCCCCCCCCCCAAAGCCCCCCAGCACCCCTAACCTCCCCCACCCCCTAAACACCCCCTTTAGCTCCGTTTCCCCATCCCAGCCCCCAAAAGCCCCCTGAATTTTCCCAGGACCCCCCCCCCCCAAGGCCTATTCCTCCTCCTCACAGCCCCCCCAAACCCCCCCGTACCTCATAACCCCCCCCCAAACCCCCCTAAACACCCCCCTAGGGCTCAGTTTCCCCATATCAGACCCCCCCCAAGGCCCCAAATTCTCGGGACACCCCCTGAGGCCTCCTCCTGGCAGCCCCCCCATACCCCTAAAGCCCCCCCCAGGCCCCTAAAGCCCCCATACTCCCCCTAAAGCCCCCCCACACCCCTAAACCCCCCCTTTACCTCTCATTTTCCCCCATCCCACTCCCCCCGTCCCCCAAATTCCCAGGACGCCCCCCTAAGGCCCCCCCCGTACCCCAAATTCCCCCCCCTTAACTCCCCCCCCCCAATGGGGCCTCCCCCCCTCAGGCACCGCCCGGGCCCCTCGCAGCCCCTCCCCTCCCCTCAGCCCCGCCCCCCAGGAGGGGCGGCACCCACCCCCTTCCCCGCCCCTCCCACTTTCCCCCTCCCCAGCTTCCTATTGGCCGAGCCGCCCGCCGCTCCGAGCCGAGCGGCGAACCGATTGGCCGGCGGGCCCCGCCACTCAGCGGAGAGGCGGGACGAAGGCGAACGACGGAGGGGGGAGGGGGAGGAGGGGGAGCGGCTGCCTGAGGAGAACTCGGGGAGAGTTGGGGGGGGGGGGGCGCTGCCCACCGGCCCCCCCCCTCCGTTCTCCGCCTTTCCCGGTTTCCCCCCCCCCTCACCCCTCCCGCTGGCTCCCGGGGCCGCCCCCTCCGGGCTCGGTGCCCCGCCGGTTACCTCCGGGAGGGCCGCGCCGCCGCTCGCCGCCTCCGGGGCCTTGCGCTGGCTGCGGACGCGCTGGGCCCCCCCCGGCCCCTCCCCTCCCCTCCCCTCCCCTCCCCTCCCCTCCCCTCCTCCTCCTCCTCCGCCCCCTCCCCTCCCTCCTCCTCCTCCTCCTCCTCCTCCCCCCCCCCCGCCCCTCACCGAAGTCTCGCGAGATCTCGCCGCGAGGAGCCGCCGCCGATAAGGGGAGTGGGCGGGGCGTGAGGCCACGCCCCCTTTTCTCCCCGGGGGAGGCGGCGATGGGGATGTCGCGATAGGGAGAGCGGTGTGATATAGGGGTGTCGCGATAGGGAGGCTGTTGTGAAATAGAGATGGTCACGGCATGGAGGATGTCGCGACGTGGAGGCTGTCGTGACATGGGGCATCGCAGCACGGGGGCTGTCACGACATGGAGAACATCACAACATGGAGGCTGTCGTGACATAGGGCATCGCAGCATGGAGGCTGTCACGACATGGAGACCATCATGACATGGAGGCTGTCGTGACACAGAGGGCATCTGGAGGCTGTCGTGACATGAGGGATGTTGTGACATGAAGGGCGTTGAGATATGAGGGCCATCGTGACATGGAGGCCATCGTGACACAGAGGCCATTGCAAAACAGGGGTTATCATGACACGGGGGACATTGTGACGTGGAGACCATCACAGCACAGAGGCTGTCACGACACAGGGGATGTCATAACATTGAGGACATCATGCCATGGAGACCCTTGCGACCTGGGATATCGCGACATGGGGGATATCACGACATGGGGGATATTGCGACATGAGGGACATCCCCACACAATGGATGCCGGCACCCACTGGGTGCCCCCCAGGGTCACGACCCCATCCCCATCCCCATCCCCCCCGCGGGTGTCCCCACACCCCCCCCACCCCGAGGTGTCCCCAGGGAAGTGACAGCGGGGCCACGACGTCCCTGGGGGGGGGTGGGCGACGTCCCCCCCCCTCCGGTGCCACCCCGGGGAGGTGACAACGCGCGGGGCCGCCGAGGAGGCACGCGGACACCGGCCCCGTTATCGTTATCCAACCGTCTTTATTCCCGGGGTGTGTGTGTGTATGGGGGGGGGGGGGGAGGAGCAGGGCGCCCCCTGACCCCCCCCCCAAATCCTCCCCCGGCAGCCATCGTCCCCGGTGTCCCCTCCGGTGTCCCCGTCACATGGCGAAGAGGATGAGGAAGGCCACCATGAGGCAGAAGAGCCCCATGGCCTCGGAGAGGGCGAAGCCCAGGATGGCGTAGGAGAAGAGCTGCTGCTTCAGCGACGGGTTCCTGCGGGGACGGGGGGGGCACGCTCAGCACCCCTCCCACCCCATAATAACCCTAAAATATCCCCAAAATTGTCCCCTTCCTGACCTGGCGTAGCCGATGATGAGGCTGCCGAAGACGGTGCCGATGCCGGCCCCGGAGCCGGCCACCCCCACGGTGGCGGCGCCGGCCCCGATGAATTTGGCGGCGGTGTCGATGTCGCGACGGGCGGCGCTGGTGGCGACGGCCCTACAAGCACCCGGCCGCACCTGGGGGGGGGACACGGGGTCATGGGGACATGGGGGGGGGGACACGGGGTCATGGGGACACAGCCGGTGGGCGGCACCACCCCCTCGTGCCTCAGTTTCCCCCCCCAGCTCCACGCGCCCGTTTTTGGGGCTGTTTTTGGGGCTGAGCCCCCTCCGCGCGCCCGTTTTTGGGGTCACCATGAGCCCCCCCACCCCATTGTGTCCCCCCCCAACCCGTTACCTGCTCGGGGGTGCTCAGGGGGACGGAGAGGGGCTGGCACAGCACCCGCGGGACCCTCCTCACCTGCAAGGCATGGCCACATTCTGGGGGGGGGGAAACACACAGAGCCCCCCCCAGGGGTTGTGTCCCCCCCCCATGTCCCCCACCCCAAAACCTGCTTGGGGTCGGGGGCACAAAACCACCTTTAACCCCCCCCCCAAGCTGAGCGCCTCCTGTTGACTTCGGGGTGGCCCTAAAAAGGCAAAAAGTGTCCCCAAATGGCCCCCCACCCCCAAAAAAGCCCCCCCCCCATGTGTGTCCCCCCCCCACGACCCCACTCACCAGCGCGGGCGCAGCGACCACCTTGGTGCAGAGCATGGCGGGGGCAGGGGGGGAGCGGCCTCCGGAGCACGGGGGGGTCCTGGGGGGGGGACAAAGGGGACAAGGGGGGGGCACAGAGGGGGGGTGGGACACGTGGTTGGCACCGGGGGGCTGGGGGGGGGGCATTGGAAAGGGGGGGGGACAAAGGGGGCACGGGGGGGGCACAACCTGGGCCTGGAAAGGGACGTGGGGGGGGCAGAATGGGGTAGGAGGGGTGAAACCCCAAAAGGGGGGGGGGGGCAAAATGCAGAGTGAATGGGGGGGGGCACCCCAAAATGTTGTGGGTATGGGGGTGACCCTAAATGCAGCGTAAAAGGGGGGGTGCCCCAAAATACTGTGTGAAGGGGGGGGTCAACCCAAAATGAAGTGGGGGGGGACCCCAAGACATAGTGATTATGGGGGTCCCCAAATGCTGTGTAAAAGGGGGGGTCATCCCAAAATATAGTGTGGGGGGGCACCCCAAAATGTAGTATGTATGGAGGTCACCCTAAATGCAGCGTGAAAGGGGGAGCACCCCAAAATGCTGGGGGGGGGACACTCCAAAATGCTGTGAGAAGGGGGGACCCCAAAACTCTGTGTAAAAGGGAGAGTCTCCCCAAAATGTAGTGATAATGGGGGTCCCAAAATGCAGCGTGAAGGGGGGGCACCCCAAAACGCAGGGGCTCACCCCCAAATGCAGTTTGAGGCCACCCCAAAACGCAAAGCAAGGGGGAGGGCACCCCAAAATGCGGGGGGGGGCACCCCAAAATGCAGTGAGGATGGGGAACAACCCCAAAATAAATTTGGTGGAGGTCACCTCAAAATGCACGGGGAGAGGGAGGAAACCCCAAAACGCAGGGATTCGCCCCAAAATGTAGCTGATGGTTAACAATACCCCAAAATGCAGGGATTCACCCCAAAATGCGGTGTGAGGAGGAGGTCACCCCATAGCGAAGGGGGGACACCCCAAAACGCAGTTTGAAGTCGAGCTGACCCTAAATGGCCGGGATTCACCCCAAAACGCAGTGTGAGGAGGAGCTGACCCTAAATTCCCGGTTTTCACCCCAAAACGCAGCGTGAGAGAGAAATGACCCCAAACCGCAGGGGCTCGCCCCCAAACTCCCCCCAAACCTCTCCGGGACCCCCCCAGCCCCGTGTGAGCCCCCCACCGCCCCTCTCCCCCCTCCCCTCCCCCTCCCGGTGCCCCCCCCCCCCGTTCCGCCCCCCCCGGGCCCCTCACCTGGCGCACCGGCGGCGGGCAGGTCGCGGGGGCGCCGACTGCGCAGGCGCGACCGGAAGCGCGGCCCGGAAGCACCATAGAGAGGGAGGCGGTGCCGCCACCTAGAGCGCCTCCCCCTCCAGGCACGGCGCCACAGCGCCCCCTGCGGGCAGGGAGGAGGCGGCGGCTGCGTGCACCCGGGGGGCGTGGCCAAGAGTGGGGGCGTGGCCAATAGGAGGTGGGGTCAGCGCGGGGGGCGTGGCCATGGGGAAGGGGCGGGGCGTGCTTGGCGCCCCCTGGCGGCCAAGGGGAGGAAGTGCACCAGGGGGGCGTGCATGGGGGTGTGCACGTTTGCACGCGTGTTTGCACACGCGTGTGAGTATTTACACGTATCTCCGTGCGTGTGCACACGTGGGGGAGGTGTGTGCATGAGTGTGCAAATGCATGCATGTGTGCGTGTTTGCAAATGTTTGCATGCATGTGCACGCGTGTGTGCATGGGTTTGCACATGTGTGCAAGCTTTTGCATGCATAGATTTGCATGTGTGCAAATGTTTGCACACGTGTTTTTTGTGTGTGTGTGCACGCATTTGCATGTAAATGCACCTGTGTACGTATTTGCATGTATGTCTGTGTGCATATGTTTGCATGTGTGTGTTTGCATACGCGTGCGTGTTTGCATGCATGTACCTGTATGCGTGCCTGTTGGCATGTATGCACAGCTGTGTGCATATTTGCACGTGTGTGCATGCATGTGCACATGTGTGCATGTGTTTGCACATGCGACTTGTATGCTCACGTTTGCATGTGCATGCACATGTTTACATATTTGCATGCACGTGCACGTGTGTGCTCATGGTTTTGCATGCGTGCATGTGTGTGCATGTATGTGCAAATGTTTTCAAGTGTGCACTTGTGTGCATGTATTTGCACGTGCATGCACATGTGTACATGCATGCACATATTTGAATGTGCATGCACCTGTGTGCATGTTTGCATGTGCACACGTGTGCACATTTTCATGCGTGTGCTTGCACATGTGCCCACGTGTGCACACAAAGCAGAGGGTTGCATTGCTGTCCTTCAGAGCGTGTGGTTGCACACGCGTGTGCACCGGGCTGGGGGGGGGGGCCAGGGCTGTGTCCCCCCAGGGGTCAGGGGGCGGTGTCCCCACAGGCTGGGCCCCCCCCCGGGGGTGCTGTGTGTGTGTGGGGGGGGGGGGGGGCCCAGCCTGGGGCTGTCGGGGGGATTTATGGGCAGCCCTAATGCGGGAAGCCGTAAAGCCCGAGCGCGCCGCTATTAATTAAATCATTGTTATAATTAACTTTCATTAAAGGAAAATCAATAGCGAGGAGCCGGGCTGGAAGGAGCCCATCCATCCATCCATCCATCCCCCTGTCACCGGGGGGGGGGGGAGCACCAGCCCCCTGATGAACCCAATTCCCCCAGATTTTCCCCCAAACCCCCATTTTTCCTCCCACCCCATTTTTTGGTTATTTTTTCCCCTTTATTCCCTGATTTAAACCCCGGCTCCATTTTGCTGCTGACCTTAACGGCTTAAATTAAAGCGCAATGTTCTGTGTTCCCCCCCCTATCCCCGGGGGGGCCAAGTCCCCGTCCCCCCCCCCCTCAGCCACCGTTTTAATGTCCCCGGAATGGCTTTGACCTTGCGATTAACAGCGGGCTCGGCGCAGCCACCGCAGTGTGACAGCCCCCCCCCCCCCAAACCCCATTTTGGGTTGATTTCTGGGGAAAAGAGGAGCAACGGGGGAGGTGGGGGCGGGTGGGGAAACTGAGGCAGCTTTGTAAAATCCTGGGGAGGGTTTGGGGGGTGTTCAGGTGTTGTCCCCCCCCCCTCACCAAGGTCCCTGGCCCTGTCCCAGCTCTGGCGCAGTCGCAGCCGCTGCTGCATCCTAATGAGGCACCGGGGTGGGGACGGGGACATGGGGCCGCTGTGTCCCCCCCCTCAACAAGGGACCTGCACCCAGATGGGTGGACGGACAGACAGACGGACACGTGCTGGGGGGGGGCTGGCAGGGCTGGGGATGGACGGACGGACGGACGGACAGATGGACGGGAGGATGGGGGGGCAGGGGGTGCAGGACATGGGGACAGAGGGACACGGGGACGGAGGGACACGGGGATGGACAGACAGACAGCTGGAGGGGGTGGGGGATGCGATGAGGTTCTGCTGGGGGGGGGGGATACAGGGCCACATCTGGGCACAGCTGGATCTGGGGGTCGATGGCACCGATGCGCACAGCTGGAGCCTGGGGGCTGGGGTCGCATCTGGACACGGCCGGGTCCCCAAAATCACCGCCACGGTTGGATCCCGGGGACTGACACCACATCTGGGCACAGCTGGATCCCAAAAATCGGTGCCACATTCGGGCACAGCTGGATTTGGGGACCGATGTCACATCTGGGCACAGCTGGATCCCAGGGATCGATGGCACCGCTGCGCACAGCTGGATCCCGGGGGTTTGTGCCCCCCCCTCTGTGCACAGCTGGATTTGGGGATCGATGCCACATCTGGGCACAGCTGGATCCCGGTGCCGGGGTGCTTGGGGGGGGGTCCCCGGGGGTCGGCTGTGGTTTTGGCACGGGAGGGTAGAGGGCAGTGGAGGTCCAGCGATGCCGACACCGGACCCAATTTTGGACAGGGGGTGACACCAGGCAGGGGGTGACACCGGGCAGGGGGTGACACCAGGCAGCAGGTGACCCCCCCAGGACCCCACACATCCAAGCACAGCAGCACCTTTGGGTGCTCCCCACTCCCTCTCCCCCCCATTCCCCTCCCCACCTTCAAACCACCCAAATCTGCCCCCCTCCAACCCCACCCAAGGGTGGCACCGAGCCCCCCAGGGGGACACACACACACTCACAGCCACCCGGTGCCACCGCGTTCCCCCCCCCCCCGGGGCCTGAAATACGGCCCCATAAATCCGTGCCCCGCGGCGGCTCCGTGCTTAATTAGTCCCTGGAAGGACGTGATTCAGGAGAGCCCAAATGGGATGGCGTCATGCGAGGCACTAAAACGGACGGGGATCGGTGGCTGGCGAGCCAGGAGGAAAAAAAAATTAAAATAAAACACAAAGGGGGGGGGTTTCGGGGGGGGATTTGGGTTTTTTTTCCTGCCCCCCAGTGATGCGGGCGAAAGGATGGGGGCAAATCCCGAAGCACCCCCAAGGATTTGGGGTGCCTGGGGTAAAATCCTGCCCTGCCACCTGCCCTGTCCCCAAATTTGGGTGTGGGCTTATGGAGGGGGGGGCTTTTGGGGTGTGATAGGGACCCAATGGGACCCCCAAAACCTTCCCGGCACCTCCCCGAGCTGCTCCGGCTCCCGGCCAGCCACAGCGGGTTTCTTTTATTTTTTTATTTATTTATTTTTTTTTACGGGCTTTTTTTTTATGACAAACTTTACTTTACGTTTGACATTTAAAAGCTGATCGGATCTTCCCTCCAGGACAGCAGGAAATGGAGATATTTATTGGGGTCTCGGCGACGCCGGGAGAGCCGCGAGATTTACTCCGACAGCGCGGCCGGATCACGGATCTCGGCTGGGATGCACCGGGGGGGGGGACAGCGATTTATTGGGGGCTCGGGGCTTGTTTTACCCCAAAAAAGGGGTTGGAAGGAAAGGGATGAGAGCATGGGCTGGTTGAGCCCATGCCCCAGCCCCATGTGGGGATTCTCTGGTGGCAGGTTTGGGGTTGTGCTGGTGAAGGTGCTGCTGTCTGGGAGGGAATTAATTTTTGGGAATTTGGGTTTTGGTCTCTCCACGTGGCTCTGAAGCTCCTCTTTGCCCCCCCCGGTGATGGTTTTCTTCCTTCTCAGCTCGCTGGTGTCCCCCGCTTGGGGACAAGCCCGGCGTTGTGGCAGTATTTAGGACCTGGGGACGTGGCCAGGGTCAGGGGTGCTGTGCTGGGGCTGGGGACAGGATTTAGGGAGCGTGTTTGGGACCTGGGGACGTGACCTCAGGTTGGGGACGATGCCTCCCACCAGGAGTGGTGGCTTCAGGGGGTGCCTTGGGCCAAGGGGACAGCGCCTGGGACCTGGGGACAGCGTCTTGGGGTGGTCTCTGGGCACATCTCACGGCCTGGACCCAAATTTGGTGCCCAGGGTGGGGACAGTGCCCCCAAAACGGGGACAGGAACGGGGCTGGGGGACAACACCTGGAGCTGGGACCAACCTCAGAGCCGGGGATTTTGGCTCAAGGGGGGGACAACACCCGGGGACTGGTGCCCATTTTGGGGACACCGGTGGCATTTATGGGGACGGCTGCTTTGGGGGGGGGGGACACAAACGGGCCATGTGCTTCTCCTCTGGCACCAGACGATTTCTCCCGCTCGCCTCCTTGTGCCAGGGCGGCGGTGAAGAGCCCGCCTCGTAAAAAGGCGACGATAAAATATTATCATCGCCTTCCCCCCCCCGCACGCCAGGGGGGTTTCTGCCTCTAACGAAGGAGCTTGCCCCCCCCAGCCCCCCCCGGGACATCCACGTCTTTATTTGCTGCTTCTTGGCACAAATATTCCCGGGGGGGGGGTGGAAATTTTAATATTGCTGAAAAATTTGGGGGGAAGCTGCTGCAGGGAGGGGTGCTGAGAGCATGGGGGGCCGCGGGGTTGGGGTGGGCTTGGGGCTATGGGGGGGTGAGGGGGGTGAGGGGGGATCAGGAGGGGGCTGGGGGGGTTTGGGGGGGTTTGGGGGGGTTTGGGGGGGTCGGAGGGGGTCCCCCCAAGCCCTCAGTGGGGTTTTTGCCCTTTGCTGTGCGAGCGAGTTTGCAGTTTCGGGGTGAACCTGGGCACGGCCGCCCCCCACCCATTGATGGGGTCAGCACCGGGTCCGGGGCTGCAGCCGAGGGGTGGGAGTGATGACGTCATCGCTCGTCTCGGTGACGTCATCAGGCGTCCCCCGTGTGACGTCAGCAGCCCCCCCCCCCCCGACCAATCGGAGGGAGGCCGTGGGGTCTCTGGACCAATCCAGCCTCGCCACTTCAGCCCCCCCCAACCAATCCCGGCTCAGGATCTGACCCCCCCCAATCCCACCCCCCCTGGGTCCGAGGTGAAATCTGGGGAGAAATCCTCCCAAATTGGGT